CAAAGAGAAAAATCCAAACTAAAGCAACACCTTTGTACCTGGCAAGGCCTCAGCTTCAAACAGAGGCTGTGGGAGGTCAGCAATACAGTAGGCCTCGGATGCCTGCCAACGGAGAGCTGCTTTTTCCTCTCTCGGGGAACATTCTGCTTTGTGTACAGAGCAGTGCTGGATTTCTGAAGAGCAGCCTTTGATAGTTTTTGAGGTGGCATTTTGGGATAATAGAACCTTGAAATAATAATGAAGCAACTTTTCTTAAAACCTTCCAAGTGCTCCACAGGGACCCTCTTATGAGTGTCGACATCATTTCTCCAAAGAGATCCAGGGGCAGCACATCCTTCCCCTCCCCACCATGCCGCAAACAGGAAAAACAAGACCCAAAAGAGAGTCACAGGAGGACTTCTGAGGAAATAATAGATGATGTTGCACTTCGGACCCACTGTATTGTAAGTTGTGTGATTCCACGACTGTTTCTTCTACCTCAAATATTAGGCTTTTAAAGATAATGAACTATGTCATTTTTTTTACCTTTCTATAAACAGTGCCCCACAAAAGGCTGCACGTGAAAAATGACTCAAAATATGGCTTTTAATAAATGAATGAATGAAAAAAGAAAGAACAAAGCATATGTTGTTGATAGCATATTTGCCTTCCCCAAATGAAATTATAAATACTTTTTAATTTGGTTAGTGCTTTTGTCTTGTAAAAAACTCACATATATATTATGCTATTTTTATAATTATTCAGTGAGATAAGCAGCATTAAAATCCAGGGTCCCGAGCCAGATTTCTTGGGTTTTAATCTTGGCCTTACTGATTACAAGCTGATTGTTCAATGTTGATCTTTCTCAGTTTCCTAGATTGAGATTCTCTAAAGAATTAATAACTACACCTGCTGTGTGAGGATCATCTAAGACAGTAACATGCCTGGCACATAGTAACCCTTCAATAAATATTAGCCTTTTTGTTACAACTATTCAATAAATGAGGAAACTGAGATACAACCCTGCTTACAATCACACTATAAAACACATGAATGCATGGAATATATAAGAAGATAATATAATGTAATAACTATGAATGAGGTTCTAGAATCAATATTTTAGAGTTAAAATCCTAATATGACTTTAGTCAAGTTTCTTTACCTCTCTGTGCCTTAGTTTCCTCATCTGTAAATGGAGGTAATAATAGGCACTGTTCCATTGAATGGGAATTATGCAATGAGTTCATATGTGTAAAGCTCTCAGAACAGTAAGTGGTTTATAGTAAGTACAAGTGTTTGCTATTATTAATCATCATTATTATTACATTACTTAATGTAATGACATCCAGACACAAAATCACAGCCATAGGCTTTATGCCTTCTATATTTGGAGCCATCTCTGCAGCCCATACTATTTAGCCCTCTGATACACACTTCTACACTCCCATCTGCCACAGCAACTGTTGGTAACTTTGCTACCAATCCAGAGTTGAGATTCAGTGGGAGTGTGTCAGGGAAACACTAATTCAACAGGAAGACAGAAGAAGCATGGTTACTTGCTTGGAGATATTTTGCCCAAATCTTCTGATAACATTTTTTCCTTAAACCTGCCCAGAGTAATTATGGCTCTTAACAATTGTTATAGCTCAGTAGCAAATGCTGGGTGACTTCTGCAAACAGTTTTATCAAACTGACATTCTAACAAATGTCCCTTGCTAAATGTCAAGTGAGATTTCTGGAGGGGAAAGAAAAATGCCTCTTTTCTTCTTCCACATTCCAAGTTTATGTAGATCAAAAAGACACTGCATGGCTGCCCGTTGTTTTAGCAATTCAGACATCTGCAATAATCCTCCAAGAATCCTTAATCAGCTAAGGCTCCATTCTTAACACTGGGGAGAATTAATTATGAATGTGGAATCAGCATCATTGTCGATCCGGGAAGCTGAACTGACGTGCAGTGATGCCTCCTCCTGCAGTTTTAATTAAGCAGGAAGGAGTTCAAGGGTGTAGGATAGAGCAGAATGAGACTGATAACTGGCCCACTATAGAGGAGATTACTGTCCCTCATTTTATCTTTAGCTGCATATTATTCATGAAATACATGCTCCAAATCCTATGACCTCATAAGGATACTTAAGGGAAGATAATGAAATCAATAGTAGTTAAATATAGTGGGTCAGTGAAAAGAAAAAAAAAAACAAAACTGCCTTCATGAGAAGGTAAAATATTCTCTTCCCTAGATGGGAGTGATTAGAGAAATAACTAAAAGGTTGAAGGAAGATAATGGTCATTTGCTGCATTATTGCCATTGCTCTGCTTTTTTTCAGATTGGCAGAACTCTGATCTTTTTCTAATAGTATCAGATGGCCAGTGTCCTTTGAGGAGGCTGAGTTCTTCCCAGGCCCATGGCCTAACCATGATTGGCCTACACCATCTATGGCAATTCATTCATCTCATCAGTGATTGCTTTACAAAAAGCCTTGTGACATAGCTATCATCCATAAAACATGTAGAGAGATCTGCCCGGGGCACAGCTAGTAAAGGCTTTCCCATTTTGCAAAACAGATGCATCTGAAGAAATAATCATGTGCTAAGATAACACTTTAAATGGCAGAAACCATTTTGTGGTTATGAGAACACACTTTAGGTTAAAAATCAAAATGCTGAAAATGGCAGGGCAAAAAAAAGGAAAAGACCTGAGTCTTTGATGATGCCGTTGATCCACCGAATCACCAAACCCTAGAACCACTCTACCTCTGGACATTTCATTAAATGATATAATAATCTCTCATTTTTAATGCCATTTTTGTCAGCTTTCTGTTAATCATAACTAAAACATCTTAACCAATATTTATCTCAATGTCAAAGGATTTCACACTATTATTTTAATTTATACTTACAACAGCTTTCTTAGGTAGATGTTTTCCCCTTACAAAACAAAAACCAGAAGCTCAAATGAAATAAATGATTTGTCAGCAGAGACCCATGAAATCAGTAGCATAGCTAGAATAAATGCCCATGGGTGAGTGATTTAAAAAAAAAAAAAAAATTTTTCTACACTATGCTGTGCTGCTGCTAGTTTTGTCACTGGAAATATATTCATTTCTATTTTATTTGACTTAGCAGTTTTTAGATGCCAATCTATAAATGCTAGGGATGCAAATATTATAAAAATAGTGATAATATTTGGCATGGTAGAATAGAAAACACGTCTGTTAATAGTACCTAATAACAGTGACACACACTGGGGATTCAGGTAACAAATACTGAGATGGATTTTAAAAAATGAACATAAAGATTATAAGGAGATTTAATAGGGTTGGTGGGTGACTGGAAGTTTGTGTAGAAAGAGTGGCTTATTTGGAGACCCACAGGTAATCAGCTATCATTGGGACATAAAACATAGAGGGGTAGAGATAGTTGGGAGCTAAGTCAGAGAGGTGGGAAGAGACCAGATAATAGTAGCTCTTGTACATCAGGGTAGAGAACTTGAACTTTATTCTGTGATTACTGGATTTTAAACTCTTCTTTACCTTTAACCTTTTACTTCAAACAAAACCATATCTAAAATTATTAAAGCATATGAAAGAAGAGTTATTTTGCTGAACCCATAAAGCACATTGTAAAAGCCACTCTGTGGATGATAGGCTGTCACTTAATGATGTTAACTATAGAAGTGACATAAAAATAATGACATCTAAGAGAGATTGTCCTAGGGACACCATAGAGGACAGATGGTTGGAGAAAGAAATGAACGCAGTAAGTTCAATTAAGTAAAAGGGAAATCCATACTGGGTAGCAAAATAACTTTCAAAATTCTCACAACACTCCCTGCAGGAAATACAAAGTGCCCAAACTAAGGCATTGGCAGCAACATCATCACATAGTTTGCTACACAACTTCCATTCCTTATCCTTTATGGAAATGGTATTTCCAAAGGAGAGAGGCAGTAGAATTGCCATGTTTATTTATAGATGCCAATGTTTGATTAACTTAAGCTAATTAGCAAATCTCAGCCTCATAGCCACAGTAATTGGTTTGGGAATAGTCATATGATACAAGTTGGGCCAATTAAAAAGTTGTTGAGTGGAAGGTTTCTTTGGAAGGAAGAAAGCTTTCCTCATTTTAGTGAGCGCTATAATACTAGGAGAAATAATCTCCTTCCTACAGGGTACAAATATGGAACCATGTAGCCCTAGATACTGAAGCAGGCCATTTCATAACTGAGACAGAGGACAAACTGAAACTGAGAGTATCATAGAAGGGGAAAGTGTTGGTATAAACAGGCTGGGGTTTTGACAGTATCATTAAGCCCCTGTATCATACTTCACAAGAAACTTTCACTACCTGCAGATTTTTCATTTATCGGAGCAACTAAGTTTCTATTATTATAAAGCACTTTGGGCTGAGATTTCTCTTTCTCTAAAGTGAAAGTATCTCAAATAATATAGGATGGCAAGGCATAATTATAATAATTAAAGAATAGATTTAAAACAAAGTAAAAGTCAGTGGCACTGACTAAATAAATTTGGAGTTGAAGGTGAGGCCATAGCTCAGGATGATTCTCAGTTTGTGGCTTGTTTGCAGAAATCACCATGGACCAAGTCAGAGTATGTAGATTAAACAAAAGCAAATATAGAGTTGAGAGAAGATAACAATTTGGGTTTTAAACATATATAATGTATGTATGTGCTTATAGGATAGCCAGTGGTAATATAATAGGCATTCTCTTTAATCAATCTACAACTCTAAAGAAAGGTCACAAATCCAATTTATAAGAGTCCTTTCAGATTGATGACACTTAAAGTCATGCTTGTCCATGTGGGGTGCAGATAATTCCAGAGTATGTTTGAAAATGTATAAAAACAGTAGCTAAATACAATCACTATCTTAATACCATTAACCAAAGTTGATAACGGTTCCAATGTTTAACCTAATTCATAAATAAAATTAAACATTATTTTTATACTTAAAAATATAGTATCTAGTATAGAGAAAATAAAAAACCACATGATGTTTTAAAGATTTAAGTGTAGACGTCAAAGAGATTTCTCATTTCTCATTGGCTGCTTCAGGCTATGATTCATGACAATCCAGGGTTAACTATTCAATCCCCACTGCTCTAAGGGGTATTTTAAAAACTTCAAAAAATATATTGTTCAGGAGTTAATCATGATTAATTTTATTAAGGGCTCAGTGCACCACATCAATCTTCCAATATGACATATAGTTGTATATAAATTCACTGAGCTAGGAACCTGGAACTGAGGAAGCAAGAGTTCCTAGAGAGGTGCGAGAGTCAGGGAAAGGGCTAAACTCAAACTTCATCAAGTTCCCACTTGGTACCCGGGCCTGTCTCTAGTCCTTATCTGATTTTCTGGTAAGGGACTATTACAGACAAATACAGGGATGAATCACTGTTCTAGGCTTTGTTTGTTTTTTAATGGGCTTCTGGCTGAGTAAAAGGGTGATTTGACACTTACACTATTGCAAACCTTTGGTTGCAAATGAGTTCCAGTTGGCAAGGCCGCCATCTAATTTTGATAACAAAAGTCTTATAGGGAAGGCCCATAAGGCATTTTACACATCAAACAGCTCTTACTGAAAGATGTTTTGATGAAATAATTACAAATGAATCAGAAGGAGTAAATTGCCCCTGAAATAATAACAATACTTAGCATTTTCATTTTCAAAGTGTTTAACAAATTACTAATTATTTAATTTACATTCTAGCATATGAGGAAGGAATTTCTACTCCAGTTTTATAAATGGAGGAGCTAAGTGATCAGGAGGAGACATATGCTCAAGTCTAAAGGGCCGATCTGGACAAAAATGGTAGCTGGGTTTCACACAGCTGTTTCCAGTGGAATCAAGGAAGTGGTGGGAATGAGGAGGTGGGCAAGGGAAAGACTGTCTTCAGGTACTGCCCGATTTCCTTCCATTCTCTATTTTCAAGCCTTCAAAAAATGTAATCACATATTTTTTTCTTTAAAAAAAAGCTTCTAAATTGAAAAAATGCTATCTTAAAACTGAACATTGTTTTACACCAGATCTTGATAAATTTGTGACTTCAGAATCTGGGAAACTGGGCCCACCTTTTGGGAAATGTATACAGAGCAAGGAACAAGCTCTGGACGGTTCCTGCAGGGCAGTTATGGGATCATGCACTGAAGACAGCACTATGCAGAATCCAGTGAGAACACACTGGTGACTTCTTCCCAGATCTCTGCCATTTAACTCTGTTGACTTCCCTTTCTGCTTCGTATTCCTTGGCTTCTAACATAAACTATAGCTTTTTATGTCTCCTGTCCCCTCATGACGTCTCAGTTTACTTCCATTAGTTGGCATCCTGAACGCAAACTGAGAACTGCAGCTATTACCTCCTTGCTGATTTCTGGAATCAACACTGTCCACACCTGGAATTCCTTCTGCCAGCTCAGTTCTGGTGCTGAAACATCACCATGCAAATGGTCCCCAAAGTAGTCTTACGTTTTAGGGCCACAGCAGCAAACTGACAGCAATGTATAGCTCATGTTCATTTTTTGGCTTCTTGTTCTGTCCATGCTGTGTGTGCAAAAGGAATTGTGACCAGGAAAGACTTATATTTCTCTGCCTATCTTCCTAACGTCTTAACATTCCATGCCTTTGTACGAGCTATACATTTCACTTACCTATTAATATATAACAAACCACACTGAAACTTAGTGGCTTAAAACAATAATTTTCCAAGGTTTTCTTGGTCAGGACTCATCTTGTCAATTCTTTGCTTCCCATTATATTGCCTGAAGTACTCATATTACTGAAGCCCGCTGTGAGCTCTGCTGGGGTTGGAACATCCAGAATGGTCTGTCATCTTCCTAGGCCTCTCTCCACATGATGTCTAAACATTTAAAGTCTAGCACAAGCTTCCATAAGCATGGCTGCTGGTAAACCCAAGAGAGAAGTGGCAGCTTCCATTCTTCTTCAGTGCTGGGCCTGGAAGTCCCAGAACATCAATTTTACTGCATTTGTTTGGTCAAAGCAATTTATAGGACCAGCCTGAAGATTTCAAGGAAAAGGAAAATACATTTTATCTTTTGAGTTGAGGAATGGCATACACATACAGGGAGGAAGAAATGATGGCAGCTGCCTTTGTAGATTATCTATTGCACATATAGATGACCTTCTGTAAGCATTTGAAATTGGGATTCCTATTTTCAGTTTTGGTGGAAGGTTTCTTAGAGTTCTTGAAGTTCACTAATTTGTTCATTCAATAGAGATTTTCTTTTACTTTTTGTTTGTTGGTTTGTTTTCTGAGTATCTACTCTTTGCCTGACAGTTCTTTAGGGTAATGGGGATATGCAATGAATAAGAGAGATGGAATTTTTTTCTTCTATAGAAATCAGATTCTATCATCAATTGATAGACAATAACCAAGTCAATAAATAAACAACAAAAAATCGGACAGTGATGTGCGCTTCGCAGAGAATTTGTGTTATATAATAGAGCATGCCTAGTTTTCTAATGTTGATTAGAAAAGTGAGTTAGGATTCTCTGAAGAGGAGATAGCTAAGCTAAGAGCTGAGTAAAAGGAAGGGCTATTGCTAATGTTAAGGGTTAAGGCAGTGACAAGCTTGACATGTTTTAGGAATAGCACAAAGCCTATGGATGTTGGAATACATGAGAAAAACATGAAAGTAGTGAGAAAGAAGAACAGAGGGGTAGCTAAGGGCCATATTACAGAGTTCTCTGTAGGCAGTTTTCAAGAATTCAGTTTCTATTCCAAGTCTGGTGAAAGTCATCAGAAAATTTTAAGCATGTTTCTAATTTGTATATCGAGGTCAACTCAGAACTAGCTGATGGTTTGGATGTGGGAGGTGAGAAAAAGAATGATTAAGGTTAACTCTCAGACTCTTATTTAAACAACCAAGTAGATAATGGTACTATTTTTTGCACTTGAGTATATTGGAGAAAGAACAGGCATATGGGCAAAGAAAAAAATAAAGACGTCTTTTTTTGTCATATAAGTTTCAGATGTTAACTAATACCCTTATGGAATTTCAGCTTTCTGTCTAACAAAAATGAAATCTTCAGTGAGGTAAAGTTGTTGTTGCTGTTATTGTTTGTTATTAGAACAAAAATTACCTTGTAATTCCATGAAAGTCACAGGAAGGTATCAGTGGCTTCTTGTAGGTACTTAAATGATAGGAGAGTCCTCATCCTTTCTGTTCATTCTTTCCTGGTAAAGGATACAATTAGCATACTAGGGGCAGTGAAAATGTGCCTTCTTGCTTTTCCTTCTTTCCCCCTTCCTTTCCTTGTTTCTTTTTTCCTTTCATAAATATGTAATTGCCTACTGTATACCAGGTATTGATCTAAATATTGAATACACCAGCTTGCAGTCCAGTTGAGGAGGCAGATGTGATTAAAAAGGCCCCAAAAGGCCACAACGTAGAGATGTATGTGACTTAGCAAAGGTCTCTCCTATCCTTGGTATAAAGACCTTTGGGGAGAAGGTAAACCACCCATACAGAGTACAGTGAGTCTCCTTAGAGGAGGGGGACTGAAATCTGACATAGCCTTTGATAGTTAAACCATAAACACTTTGCAAGGGATTGAGTAGTCCTGATCAAAGGTCAAAAGGAAGGGAGCAAAACAAGTGAGCTAATCAGAAACTCACCATTACAAAATGGGGAATCAGAACTACAGTAGGTTTGGGGAAGAAGACTGGCATTGTCAGAGTTTGTAGTCAAGTCTAGAAACTACTGTAAACGTTTGCTTTATGAGAACAATGGCTGAGAACATGAACGTGAATAGCAGGATTCATTGCCTTAGTGCATAAACAGGGGCATCACTTTTACTCCCGAGGGAAATATAGTAGTAAGGACATGACCACAATAGAAAGTTAGGAGGGCCAACTCTGAAAGACCTAATGTACAGGATGGCAAAGCTATGGTAGTGGCATAGTAAGAAGTTTTCATTCTCTAGCTGCCTTGTGTTTGAAAATCAACAGACCTTTAAAATAAATAAGTCCCTGGTAAGGTTGGATAGGAGGAATGGAAAGACTTCCACGTGAGGCTAATGGCATTCGGGCTAAGCCAGGCAGATAATGGTATTTGTGTAATAAGGTCTTAGAGAAGATCAATCACACCAATGAAAGCATTCATACCAACAATACAGAGCATAAAACTTTCAGATTGTATGTTAGGAAGCAATTGCTCCGTAGGACATGGAGTACGGCCTCTAGAGCTGAACCATCTGGGTTCAAGTCCATTTCTATGCGTAGTAACAACTTTTTAAATCTTTATGTAGCTCAGCTTCCAATAACAGAAATAGGGTAGATTTCAAAGATTAAATGATTTAATTATTGCAAAGATCAAAGAACAGCAACTGGAATATAATAGGCACTCAATAATTGCTACCTATTTTTTAAAAAGGCATCACCTTATGATTTATAACTCATAGTAAGTGATTGGTAATTATAGCTATTACAGCCATTTTTAAAACTGTGGAATTTAAAATACCATGCTACTCCTTAGTTTCTTCCTTGATATTAGGAAGGAAAATAAATAGGATCATGAATGGACTTTTCTAGAAATTTTGGTCACTTCCAGATAGCTAAAGAATGAACTCAGACTGGTTTGCCAGTTCCTAGACAACTATTGTAACTTGCCCTTAGGAATTCAGAGGGGATTGTGGTGACATATTGAGTTACTGACCAAATGCACAGGAATCATCAATATAAAAGACTTTGCATAAATAGGAAATGTTTTATGCTCCTCCACTCATGTGGCATTTATAATCATTTGAGCCAGACAGGAACAGAGCTCAATTTTGTTTTTATTTTCTTTTGGAAAAAATAATTTGTTCAAAAATAACTAGAAAGAATATGATTGTAATGAGGGTGTATTGTCTTAAATAGATACTGTTTTCAAACAATTTGGGTGCACCTATATTTGTACATAAATTGTTATTTAATCATGAGAGTAGGTCATTAAGGGCACTTACGTACTACTTCTCTCCTTATTTTTCCTCCCACTACTACAGTGTATGGAATTCACATGGAATACATTCCCATAGATAAAGCCATACACAGTATCTTTTAAAGTTTAATAAATTGCTGTGACACTTCTGTTGACTGACCAGAAGATGTATTGTCAGACAAATGTGAATTACTCAGTAAGTTTAAAACCAAAAATTAAGTTACTTTCCAAAGACTAAAAGTATTTATTTATATATACATATATTCAATTGCTTATATTAATTGTCCATGAACTTGCATTCTCAAATTTCTACTATTTAAACAGATTGTTCACTTCATCCATTCATTATTCTAAAACATTTATTAACAATCTACTATGTGAGACACTATTTAAGCAGTAGGGTTAAAATAATAAACAAGATCCAGGATAAAATATTGCATTCACTTATAGTCTCCAGCATAATGCACATTGGGGGAAAAAATGGCAACAGACTCATAATCTTGGATACTTCCTGAGATAAAGTTAATTTTGAAAGGAAAAGTCAGAGAGAAATCTGGAAGAGGAAAGGCAGGAATGAAGGAGGGAGGGAGGGAAGAAAGAAAGGAAGAAGGAAGGAAGGAAGAAAGGAAGGGAAGGAGGGAGAAAGAGGCCTCTTTCTGAGTCTGACGGGTCCACTAACAAAGGTATAGTGCAACAGACAGCTGTATCGGAGATCTCAAGGCAATTTTCACTGTCATTCATCATGTTTCATTTTGAAAACTAAGCTAGTTATTCAAAGTTCTTGTATTACATAAGGCTCTAAGGCATATATAAGGCAAATGACTATAAGGCTCTACAATTGGTTATTTTGTCTCTTCTACCTGCAAGAAGCAAGATTTCTAAGAGTGTGTGTGAGTATGCATAGCAAGTGTACGCTCACACACACATGCCCAGTTGAAACACAGGATTTTCTTACCCACAGCTTCTCTAAAGGATTGATAAAACTACCTCTGTTCATATTAAGTCTCATAAACACACGCAGATAACCAAATAATTCATGGTTTAGTGGTACCACCTTGTGTTTATTTAAGAGCAACCCATTTTAGTGAGATTAGGTATTTGGAGTTTGGAGGTAAGTCTTTAAGGCCCACCTTAGCTTCTGCGGTAGGTCATGCACTCTGATGTGGTCCAGCATGTAGTTACAGAGACATCTAGTGGTTAGATCCAGGAGACTATCATCTAAAAGAAACTGCAAGAATGGACTCATTCCCCCCAGAGGGGCCTTTGGCTATGTGCCAGGAAGGGTGGTAACCAGCAAGAAAAGTCGAGTTGACATGGTACATTAGGCTTAACGGGTAGTAACTTGCTGATTTGGGAGCTTGGAAAACTTTGGGATGAAAATAAAGGAGATACTAAATAATATCAAAGCAAAAACAAAAAACAAGGTGAATTAAGTAAATTGCTACCTATGGGTATGATCTCAGGGTTCTTGTTTTACCCAAAAGGGGACAATCTGGCTTCACCATTATTATCATGTTAGAAATGACATATTAGACAGTGGAAACTTTAGCATAAGGTCTTATTTGTACATTGAAATACAAGTTTCCCAGAGAGATGTCATGCAATGGCTTGTATCAGTCATTAACACTTCAGCATGAATCAGTTGGTCCAAGTCTGGGAGTGAGCAAGAGTAGAAGTTGATACGAGTAGGAGAGAGGAATTAAAGTAATGCTTTCCTGGATAGGAGAAGGGATGCCATTGTCATTAGACTACATTAACATCAAAAATGTCCTGATTCTGATTAATAAAAGAATGTTATCTGGTACCAAACTTCTGAAAAAACAAGTGGTTTACAGGCCATTTTATGATATTCGAAGTGGGGGAAGTGGTAGAAAAATAAATAAAAACTTAGGAAAGAGGTAGGTTGAAAATGTACAATAAAACACACACACACGCACAGACAGACAAGGAGCCTCCCTATATAAAACTGTCATCGTGGCCAATGTTATGGAGAAGTTTTATAATTAAATTTTGTTCCTTCATTAAAATGTAAACCTGATATGATGAAACCAAAATCAGGTCTGAAATCATTTTTTCCCCTATAGTGGAGGAGGAAGAAATATTATAATTAAGCCAGAGTGTCTCCATAAATATCACCCAAAGCACTTTCTAGCCTGCGGAAAGTTGCCACTTCCATCTGAAACTTTGATATTTCGAATTAGAAACAGCAGTGGGGTATCAGGTATATATCTCTAATGCTTTATAAGATAATATCTTGCATAAAGAAAAAGGAGTGTGGGGATGGGATAGGGAGGTAACAGAGAGTAACATTCTGTCTTCTCCTCTCGCTGCCTCAGAAAAACAACCTTGATGACTCCAAATAATACCCAGCATCTTAGAGGCGGCAAATAATACAAACTTGCAGAGAACAGTAGAACATGAAGCACAAAAGTTTGTGATATTTAGTTGTGAAATAGTAGCAAGATATTGGTATTATTTATTTGCCAACAGTGTTAAGTTTTGGCTTTTGTTTTCATAGAAAAAAACTACCACTATCAAAGAATACATGCACTCCTCTTTCTCTCAATCATTTTAGTTATACCCTGCCACTCATGATATCTATGTAATTTTCATGATATGTTTAGATCAAAACCAGAGATCCTGGAAAAAAATTTGGAAAAAAAACTAACATGAATTGCAAATTGGGCTTCCATAGTTATTTTCTTTTCTGAAAGTTGCTCCTACTAAGCCAAGATTCTACATTTCTAATAGCCTTCTCACCCTAAAAAGTATACCAGATCCAAGTGTGATTCAAATTACAAAATTTAGTAAATAATTGGCAGATAGAGGCATCTTTAACATAGTTTTTCCACATGTGTGAATCTAGGTCCATTCCTATCAGAATCTGTCCAGCCTAGTTACTCAAATAAGGATCCATAGACCTATATCAGTGGCATCAATCACCTTGGATCTTTCTAGAAACACATATTCTCAGGCTCCTCCTCCAATCTCCGATTTATTTATAAGTGCATTAAATTTGGAAAGCACTGCCACATCCTTTGATTCCATCTCTCCCCAAAACCTGCAGAATCCCCATGATTGGTGGGGGTCTGGGGAAAGAGAGGAGGCCTGGAAATGTTTGCTTAAAGGATGTCTCAGATTATTTTTCGAAAGCAAGAAAATTTGAACATTTTATTCACTACTTTTCTATTTGCTTATAGGTAGGTTGAAAATGTACAATAAAACACACACACACATGCACAGACAGACAAGGAGCCTCCCTATATAAAACTGTCATCGTGGCCAATGTTATGGAGAAGTTTTATAATTAAATTTTGTTCCTTCATTAAAAGGAAGAGAGAGCCTCAAACTTTGCTGATGACTGGTCAAAATCCTTGGTCAAGTTATTTGCTTCCATAAGCCTCACTTTTGTATCTACAAAATAATCTTCACAGGGTTGTTTAAGCCCCCAGTGATACACAGCACACACAAGGACTCTATGCACATCAAGGTCTACAAATAGAAAAATTCATTACCATTCCAACATGCCTATGGATATTCCTACCATCTGTGTTCTTAGTGGTTTCACACTATGGGGACTATAAAGAAGGGCACCCTTCTCTTAGAAAGTCAGCTTGGGTAAGCGAGACTTTCTGCTTGGGGAGTGCACAGGGATTTTCTCCCATCAATATTAACAGGAGGATGTGGGGCAGCTTGAAGTCTGCAGATCTGCTCAGCTGCAGCTCAGTGAGCAGCTGGTAATACAGCATTCATATCATGCTGGCTCAGCTAAGAATACTCTTTCTATTCTTGCCTTCTTTTTGTTTTGTTTTGTTTTGTTTTCAGACTGAGGTGTGAAGGGAAAAAAGCAGTATCTGAATGCATTCCATAGTTACCGTGAATTTTATAAACCAGTGAGTCCGCTCAGTCAACTTCAACAATGGAGAGGTTGGCCCCATCTGCCAAGGAAGCAGCCAATATCTGAAACACTGAGTGGAATGAAAGTCCGCAAGGTCTGTGCTCCTCGATTTTCCCTTAGATAAGATATTGATGATGCCTCTTATAATAACCACAATCACCAACAGTAATGAAAAGTTTGCAGAACTAAAAATAATGGTATAAACCTAAGATGATATTATTGCTTACTATATGTTGTATGTGCAAGAAAACATTCATATAAGAACAATCTCAGTATGTCATTCAAGTAATATTTCATGGAGAGGCTACTACTGTTACTATGGAAAACATTAGTGTATATTAAAGAGAAGTGATTAATAAATTTTCAGCAGTTGGATCCTTTCATGCTTTGACAAAAATTTTTAGACTCAGCAGGTCTCATATTCTATTACTACAGAGAACTAGTTGGTCTATACCAGCATGACAAGATGTCAGTTTCTTGATGTGAATTTTCTAATTTAATAATGGTTAACATTTATTAAGCATCTAATAAGAAACAAGTATTTAACTATGTGTTTTACATACATTATTTAAAATGAGTAGGTGCTAAAAGCTTATATTCCTCAAAAACTTATGTCATAAGAAAATGTTTTATACTTCCATGCTCACATGAGAGTCACATGGATATTTGTCAATAAATATATTTCCATTCTTAGTACGATTATTATGTAGGTCATTGTTTCCCAAATGGGTTTCATAGAGCACTATTAATTTGCTAAATGTTAACAGATGTTTCATAAAAATAGTGTTCCATAGTCAAATAAGTTTAGAAAACACTGAATTAAATAAAATTAAACACGGTGGTTTAATTCAAGACTTCTTGTATTCTTCAAATAATAGTTTTTACATATTTCTGAAAAAGAAAATAGCATAGAATGTTTCCCAAAGATAGAAGATCCAGAAACTGTTTCTTGTCTGACATAGTAATATTTTGCTTTTGAAAATATGTTAGGTGTATTTCATGACACCTTTGTAAGGTGGACATATTCCCTTTAAAAGAAGCCTGAAGTGGCAGTACCATATTATTTATTCCAGCATTTTTATAATTCATTTAGTTTCCCAAGTTTCTTGTTGTTTTTGATAGACATTCAGTATACAGCTAGAATTTCTGGCAAGACTAAGGAGGATCAGGGAAGAAGAATGACATGGAAGAGGCTAGACAAATTCTTAAACTTAAAAGTCCCACAGTAGCAATAATGTCTATGAACTTGGGTGGAAAAAGCTAAGAACATTTTACAGAAATGAGTCACCCCAGCCTCCACTGCTTGATGTGCAGAAATTTTGTATGTGACATAATCATCATTGTAAGCCTAATTTACAACATTAACTTTTAGTTCCAAAAGCAAGGCCAGTTGAATTCAGGTTATAAAGTTCCACTTGTCCAAATTGTTTTTCCTTGCAGACTACGGCGTTGCTCCAAATGACTTATACCAATGTTTCCCATAAGCTGAATGGGAAACTGCTCATCTTTCAAGAGTCCTTATAACAGTATAGTACCTTAAACCTTCTGAAATGAGTTTTCAATGTCCAGCATTTAAAAAGGGTTAAGAAACAATCACTAATACTTTTATTTTAATGAGCTTCAATTTGATAATCTAATAAATCTTAAAATCTGATAAACGAACAGATGAAAGGAATCGTGCCTTCTGAAAACTTTTTACATTAGCATCTTTATTCCAACCTAAAATGCTCAATCCTTTTCAATGTTTCACAAAAAAGACACTGGTACTAAGTGTAACATAATATCAAAAAACAGTGCTAGCTGAGCTTCTGGAAAGGGACATAACTAGAGATTGGATTTTATGGGACCTGACAACAAACTCTTACTCCTTATCTTACTTCAGTATCCTGAGTTAACTCACCTCTGAAAATATAATAAAAATGTTCAAAGGTCAAGCACTGCTGAGAAGAGAAGGCTCTTACTAATTAGTCATACAGTCTAGTCTCTCTGAAATCTTGCTACCATTTACCTTTTACAGTAATCTCTCCAAACTTTTGCTGTTTTGCCATCTTCCTTTCCAACAACAAAGCCTCTCTCTGTATCTCTCTTTCTTTCTCATTACCACACACACACACACACACACACACACACACACACACACACACACAAGTTCCAGGAACTGTCCTCTGTACCAGGGATTCAACAGGGATTAAGTACCAAAAAGATAGGCATAGTTCACGTCTTCAAAGAACCTACAAGCCTTTCATAAAGTCACCTCCAGGTTTTTCTTGATTATTCCAACCCTTGTTCCCTAGAATGTTTTTTGCCCCATTCCAATGTCTATTTATTTGTTAAGATTCTCCACATTCATTCATTACATCATCTATATTTTTTTTCTTTTCTTACAAAATCCCCTGATGTTTTTGTGCCAGAGAACATGATGGACCTGGGGATGAAAGATATTTACAATATGATACTTGTCTTCAAGGAGCTCAAAGCCTTCAAGACAACATAGGGGAACTGGATTAAGAAAGAGACCAACAATTTTCACACAAATAACATGTAGCAGGGGCTGGCCTTATTGCTTAGATTCATTTAATCATTTGTTCTTCATGTCAACATTATTTATGAAACAAATAGATACTTATTGTAAATCTATTATATTTCAGGCACTGACTAGACACTAGTTGAAAAAGATTCCTATTCTTGTAAATCTTATATTCTAATGATGTACACAGACCAAATATGAGACAATTAACATATAAATAAAATATTAATAATACAGATTTTTAAAGGGACTCAACAAAGAGCTGAGATGGAAGACAACACAGAGATGGTGGATGTGTGGAAAGCCCTAGTTTAGTTAGTGTGGGTGAAGAAAGCATCTCTAAAAAGGTAACAAGTAAGTTGAGATCTAAAAGATCAGAAAGAGCTTCAATGAAGAGTATCAGGGTAGACTTTGCCTGGAGGAACTCTCAAAATACTGATGCTGCAACACTGTGAGTAAAGAGAGAATGGCATGAGATGGCATAAGGAAAAACAAGTAACTTTCAAAGCAATTAGCATACCACTCAGGGTCTTCTAAGTTCTGGCTCCACCTTAACTTTTCCAACCTTATCACCAACCTTTTACAATTTAGCTTTCTAGCCACAGGGACCTACTTTTTCTCATTACTTCATCATTCATTCATTTAATATACAGTGAATGAACACCCAAGGACCACAGGTAAGGATACCGATTTTATTCTAAATGCAAAGGGACACATTAGACAAACTGGTTGGTGTTTTTAATTAATTAATTATTTTCTTGTCTTAGCCATTGATTGATATTTTTGAAAAAATCTTTCTGCCCCCTCTAGAGAGAATGGATTAGAGGCAAACAAGAGTGAAGGGCATGGGGGGAGAAAAATTATTGACAAGATATATCATCCAGTGATGATGACTTGGGGTCAGCAACAATTGAAAAAGAAACAGATTAAAGATTATATCTATGGTTTCCTCCTAATTTTTATTTTTTAATTTTTGCAGCATCAAAAAAACCCACTATGTAATTTTTTTTTTTTAATCAGAAATCAAATGACAGCTACCAGGAAAGAAACACATTGAATATTTTAAAAAAGTACAGTCTAAGAAACGGTTTCTAGTCCAAAAATGTTATCTAATGGAGGAATGCTGGTTAACTCATTTGTTATGATAATGCTTAGATAATAAATGAGTCATGAAGAGCCAGTCTTCTAAGGGTAGATATTGGGAAAAGACAGCACTCCCTCTCTCTTCTGTTTTCAAGATTACTTGATATGCTTGACTGAAGAACCTCACCATGGGAGCTGCATGGGAACTGAGACCCATGTCAGCTATATTTTATATGATTTTGCCAGGACTACTGCTGAATGTGCTAAGGGAATCTGAAGGTTTTGAGCAGAGTCAAGCATACTTGATGAGAAACAGAAGCTCACTCTGACTTCCTTTTCCAGCCCTCATATTTTCTTTGTGCTGATGTCATAGACCAAGCCTGAAGGTGGGAGAAGAACAGCAGTGATTGCTAGAAGGCAAGGTAATTGAGACAGAAAAGATACCAGGGCATTGGGACTTCTTTTGGAGAGGAGGCCTTTGGAGATCTTCCAGGATCTGATTCTATCACAGTTAATTATTGTAGGATACAGGGTTTATCAGCTACTCCAAAGTTATTTCCACCCTCTTTTTCCTTTCCACCTCTCAATGGTTTCTCCAGCCTCCACTACAAGTGGATTCAGCCATCTTGACTCAGTCTTTATTCAGAGACTTAAGCTGAGGGCCTCTGGGAAAACTTACTTTTTCCAGTTAAAAAGAGGTGGATGTAGCTGGCATGTTTCTCTCCACTAGTCTTTCCTTCTGCCTTGAATACAGAAAAGATGGTGAGAACTTCAGCAGTCATCTGGCAACAAAGAAGTAAAGACCAACAGTGTCTCTAGCCCGGACCCTGTTAAGTCATAGAACTAAGACATACAATTTGGGCTTCTTGTTAAATGAGAAAAATGAACTCCAATTTATTTAGGTTTCTGGAGTCAGATTACTGTTATTTGTAGCCAAGAGTTATGTTAACTGGTCCAAATATGTCTGAAGTAAAACTATAAACTTAGGAAAGAAAAACAATCTCTTTGCAATGCAATAATTGTTAACATTTTAGTATATTACTATTCAGACTTTCAAATTTATATATATACCCAGAGTTTCTTTATATAACTGTCATTATACAAACTCTTCCAGGTCATATATTTAGTAGCTGCCTTACATCTATGCATAATTAATTTACCCATATCCTTTTGTTTGACATGTAGGTCGCTACCATTTTTTACTTTTGTAAACAACTTTATTAGCATATTTGTGCATATTACATTTTTCATATTTCTTCCAGATAGATTTTCAGAAGGAGGTCAAAGTAAATAAACAATTCTATGACCCATAATACATAAAGTCAAATTTCTTTCTAAAAAAGTACTATTACAATAGTCACTGCTACTAAAAATATATGAATTTACCAGTTTATGAACATTTTTTTCTATACTAAGTATTAATATGAAAAAATGGCTAATTTTGAGAAACAAGAATACCTTTTAAATGGTGATTTTAATTCAAGACATTTACTCTCAGATATTGTTATCTCTCTTTGTTGCTTCTTTCTTTCTATGAAACCAGCTGTTAGATTTTATACTGTATAATCTGAAACAGCTCATCTATCTTCAAATTTCTACCTAACAATTATAATGCCTTATGCACATAGAATATTCTACATTGCAGAAAATGCTTTTGAAGCAGGTATAATTCTCATTCAATAAAAGGATGAAACTGATTTCAGAAAGTGTAAGGGAATTGCACTGGTCATAGAACTATGAAATAGTGGAACTTATATTAAGTCTCAGACTCTATTTAGCTCAGCATATTATTTTTTGCTTCAACATAGGTGCCAATCCAACCTCACAATATTAACACTGATTTGGATGATCAATCCTAAAAAGAATTAACAAAGGCCTAGAAGAAACCAACCAGCTGAAAGAAACAAATTTAGCAGAGTGAGTCTCAATTTCATATTACTTTTTCCTTTGTTCCCAAAGTATGTATTACACAGCATAGAAGAGTTAAGGAAAACCTAAGAGCACCCTATTATAAGTGGGGCACAAGCAAATTCAATAGATGGAAGGGAGTTTTGGAAACTCTAATACTATAACATATTTATAAAAATAGACAGGCCAGTAGCTATAGAGGCCTATGGTGGCTTTGAGGAGAAAAAAATTAACAATAATGAGTGGAGTTGACCTTCCATATCCATGAGTTCCAAATCTGTGGATTCAACCAAATACAGATCAAAAATGTTTGAAATTAATAATGGATGGTTGTGCCTGTACTGAACATATACAGATTATTTTTTCATGCCAGTATTCTCTAAACAATATAGTAGAACAACTATTTACATAGCATGTACATTGCATTATATATTATATGTAATCTAGAGATGATTTGAAGTATATGAAGGATGTGCATAGGTTTTATGCAAATACTATACCATTTTACATAACATATTTGAATATCCATGGATTTTGTATCCACAGGGGCCTGTAGGGGGTGTTTCCTAGAACCAATCCCCCATGGATACTGAGGGATGACCCTAATGCCTTTCTATAGTGGCTCCTCGGTCACCCAGTAGAGTAACCATTGAACCAGAGACACTATAACATTGAAAATGAGTCTTGAAAGCATTCGGATTACATACAGCTCTCAATGGGCATTTACCTGTTGGTCTGCATGAACCAAAGTGTTTATAGATAGAGACATTGGGTACACAAGATTGAGTATCAAATCAGGTAAAGGAATGCAATTTTAGAGGAAAAAATAATTAAGTGTAGAAATAGGAAGAAGAAAATAAAATTGAGATGTGTTGTTGGTACTGAGGCAAGAAGTCTCAATTTTGTATCCCTTTCCTCTTAGCTCTATCAGTAAGCTACACCTCAGGACTTGAAGAAAGGAAGATTTAACGTGTAACCTTCATTGTAACATATCTCTTTTTTTCACATGTCTCAAGTAGATGCTGCACAAAGAAAGCACTGTAATCCCCTAAGATATATCTCATGAAGAATTAATGAGAAAATCCTTTCTCCCCTGAGTTTACTCTACCGGCACTTTAATTTTTTTTTTTTCTATTACCTCCCCCACTTCTCTCCTCCTGGCACTTTAATTTTTTTTCTTCTATTACCTCCCCCACTTCTCTCCTCCTGGCACTTTAACTTTGAATAAACAGGACAATAAAGCAAACCAGGGGCCATGATACCACACAAAGTTCATTCTGAGGCAACCTGGATGCCCATCATGACATCACAAGGAGTTTTTAAAGGAAGAAGGGGATTGTAAAAGGGAGTGACAGAGGGACAAAAAGAGAAAATGGAAGAAAGAAATGAAAGAGGATGAACTAGAAGGCATTGAAACTAGCATCATGGTTCTATTAGGAAGCAGGATGAATGGTACAGTGAAAAGATCCTGAGAGTGGAAATCAGGAAACGTGTTTCAATTTTGACCTCTCTATCTATTGGTTGCACAACTGAGTCTTTTAATCCTAACTATTTCCATCTGTAAGTTGGGGAAAGTGATAACACCTTTCTCAAGGAGTTACTGGGGAAATTAAATATAAACATACGTGAATAAAACAAATGGTTAATTTATGACAAAAAAGTAGTTTTATCTTCCTTTCTTTTTTTTTTTTTTGAGACAGAGTCTCGCTTTGTTGCCCAGGCTAGAGTGAGTGCCGTGGCATCAGTCTAGCTCACAGCAACCTCAATCTCCTGGGCTCAAGCAATCCTCCTGCTTCAGTCTCCCAAGTAGCTGAGACTACGGGCATGCACCACCATGCCCGGCTAATTTTTTCTATATATATTAGTTGGCCAATTAATTTCTTTCTATTTATAGTAGAGATGGGGTCTCTCTCTTGCTCAGGCTGGTCTCGAACTCCTGAGCTCAAACAATCTGCCCGCTTCGGCCTCCCAGAGAGCTAGGATTACAGGCGTGAGCCACCATGCCCGGCCTCCTTTCTTGCTTCAAATAAATATCTGAGCAGGAAGAAGAAATCTACAATTTGTATGAATGAGTGACTGGCTGTGTGTGTGAAAGAGAGAGAGTGTGTGTGTGTGTGTGTGTGTGTGTGTGTGTGTGTGTGTGTGCATGTATGGATGTAAACCTTATTACCGTAGATGTTTAAGAAAAATTTGTTTCCTTTCTATATTAAAGCTGTTTGTAGTGCAAATTACATTACTTATACTGAGTTCAGTGTCTGGCACATAGTAGGTTCTAAATATTTTTTGCTGAATAAATAAGTAATGCAAAAACATTAAAAAATGAAACTGAATGTCAAACTACTAATTAACAAAGTCTGAAATTTTTATATAAGCTGCTCAGCAGTTGAAAAGATCTGTATTTACTATGCCAGGTTACTTATTCTTTTTCAAGAAAAACACAGAAAACAGCAACTTGGAAAACTCACAAATTCATGCCCACCTCAGAAAATGAATCATGCTTGAATAATAGATAACCTTCCCCCAGTTAACTATTGCTGTATAGTAAACCACCGAAATACAGAGACACTTAAAACAAATGTTACTTGTATCTGACCCATTCCATGTGTTGGACAGGCGATTGCTCTGCTTGTTTCACCTTTACCCACCCATTTTGCTGTGTTCAGCTGAAGGACAGGCTGGTCTGAATGGCCCCAGATAGCCTCACTCACACCTCTGGCAGGTTTTGCTGGCTGTTAGCGGCATGAAATGGGGGGAATGAAGGGAGTGGTGGGTAGTTTTCCTGTATGTGAACTCCAATAGGCTGGATGGGCTTCCTTTCACATAGGTCTGAGGGCAGCTCTCCAAGGAAGGAAAATGCAAGTGGCAAGGCTTTATAAGGTCTGTCCTTGTGGGTTATGTAATGTCACTTCTGCCACATTCCCTCAACACAAATCCCAAAACCAGATTCAAGGGGTGAGGATACAGACTTAACTTTTCCATGGGAGTCATATTGCAAAAGGATGCTTTACTTTTCAATTTAACACTGAGAATTGATGACAAATGTTATCCTTTTCTTTACCGAGAAGGTTGCAATTCATTGCTAGACCATATGCAGCAAAAGACCATTTGTTTTAAAGTTAACAAATAAAGTCCTTAGGTACTGAGTAAAGTACAAAGAAGTTCTTAAACCACAAGACTAAGGCAAAAATTACATCATGTTGAACATCTAATCAAAATCCAGTAATGAGAAGAAATAGAGAAAAGAAAACAGAGTAGGCCATCATTTTAATTATGCAGAAGATCTGGGCTTGGAAGCCATAATTTTAGCATAAAGCATGCTATGAATGTGACCATATGTCTGGTAGAATATCAATGCCTTTGAAACAAGACTATCTTCTCAAATCCTAGCTCTGACAATTGTTAGCTGTATTATCTTTGGCAAATTACTTAAGCTCTCTAAGCCTCAGTTTCCTATGCAAACTAGAGATAATAATATTACCTACATATGGCTATACTAAGAATTAAACAAGATCTATATGAATCCCTATCATGGGCATAGAGGAGATACTCAAAAAATAGTAGAAATAAATGAAGTATGTAACTAAGCAATTACCTGGTTTCTAATCATAAATTCTACTAATCTCTATTTTGAAGCTACTAAAATCCCCTGAAAATAATCAATACTTAATTATTTGAAAAGTGTATGATTCTTTGAGTTCTAAAAGGGTGAGATTTTTAGAATCCCAATGAAGTTAATAGATAGCTTTTTATTCTTGTCCCCAAAGTAAGTTTATTGGAAAAATATTTGAGATTCAAGGGTCCTAACTCTTGAAAATATGTGAAGAACTTCTAAGAACAACTTAGCACAAAAAAGTACTGTAACTGACAAGATTCTAAGGTGATAATACCTATTAATATGCTTACAATAATAGGACAGTGCTCAAAACATATAAAATTTAACTAAATATGGCACCATAATCTACTATACAATAATGTTCCAACATTCATACAAAATTCTGATTCAGTATAAACATAGGATATTTGATTAGAATCACAAAACAATGGAGTCCCATTCATTACTCTCTCCTATAAGAGAAAGAGAAAAGAAACCTGGACAATCCATATAAACATATAATACAAGCATTGGTGTATTTCACAATAATCTTAGCATCTTCGCCTATCAGAGAGAGAGCTGTGTGTATGTGTATATGGTATGTTGTTAACATCTTTAAGGCTTACTTGAAGTTATGCCTTCCTTTTATATCAGCTTGGCTTGCTTAATAGTCTTTTTCTCTATGTTGCTCCTTCACTAATTGGGCAAATGTGATAATTTGTAATGGGTCTCCAACTCATTAGTGTAATTTAGTCAGGTTCTACTGTATTTTGCCAGACATGCAAACCAGGATGCTGCACACATCTGTTTTTGGAGCTCTATTTCATAAGCATCCACAACATTTCTGCTTTAAAATTGTGAAATGACTGCCCCTTAATCAGCTATTTGTCATACTGGGCTGCATAAATATATGTGGTATCATTCATAAATAATTTTAGGATAAACATATAGCAACAATTAACATTCGCATAGAGCTTTAAAGTTTACAAAGGTTTTTCTTACATATCCAAAAACAAAAACCCCATATATTCCCTTGAGAAGAAACAAAAAAGGTGTGTGTGTGTGTGTGTGTGTGTGTGTGTGTATATGTATATTTAAATGACTTAGAAGACAACATTTCAGAATATTCCAAATATAGGTATTTTATTTATCCAGATATCTGCTGTATAATCTTGGCCATTTAATCTCTCTGAGCTTAAATTTTCCCACCTTTAAAATTATCTACTCCAGGCCGGGCGCGGTGGCTCACGCCTGTAATCCTAGCTCTCTGGGAGGCCGAGGCGGGCGGATTGCTCGAGGTCAGGAGTTTGAAACCAGCCTGAGCAAGAGTGAGACCCTGTCTCTACTATAAATAGAAAGAAATTAATTGGCCAACTAATATATACAAAAAATTAGCCGGGCATGGTGGCGAATGCCTGTAGTCCCAGCTACTTGGGAGGCTGAGGCAGGAGGATTGCTTGAGCCAGGAGTTTGAGGTTGCTGTGAGCTATGGTGATGCCACTGCACTCTAGCCCAGATGAAAGAGCAAGACCGTCTCTAGGAAAAAAAAAAAGAAAGAAAGGAAAAAGAAAATACCTCTTTTTTCATATAAGAATCTTACAAATATAGTTTTTTGGGGAGGAGGAGCAAATATTCTTATAATGAATATAAACTTCAAAATACCTAGTAAATGCTGAATATAGGCTAGTTGTTATCATGATCCTGATTTGATAGACAAGAATATTGTACTTTTTAAAAGATGCTTACATCTAATGACAAAGAAATGAGATAGTTGTCAAATATATGTAACTATGGTTTGCACGTTGGGAAGACTTGAGTTCATTCTGCAGAGGCAACGTCTGTTCCTCACTTCTAGCAAGAAGGCTGGGGAGTTGAGCAGACAGTATTTCAATGCTGGAGCCAGCAGAAGCAATGCATCCAATCAAAAGCCCTAAGTTACTTACATTGGTGTGGATGTACAGAATTGAGACTAGAGCAAATAGTGCAGATTTGAAAAGGTTCAAAGATGTCACCAAGAAAGAAAATGGGCCTGAGACAGATGTTGGAAAAGTTGGAGCAGAGTATGAGGCTAAAAGTATAAAAAATCCAGAAAGAAGCAAACAGGAAAGCAAGAAGTCTTAGCAGGCCAGAGGGTGAGAGGATTAGGCTGAGTAAATATCAAAGATAGGAACCGTTGCCTAATAATTGGCTTTTTCTATGTCTTCTATGGCCTCTACCTGGTAAGAGGGATAGGGGGAAAGATGACAGGAGTAGCAAAAAAATTTCCTCTTATTCTATATTCTCAAATCACTATCCATTATAGGGCATGATAGGGGTAAGAAAAATAGGTATGCAGGAAGAGTAGGTTTTCCTGGAACTGTACCCAGGCCCAGGCAAAGAGAAAAATAGTTCTTTTTGTTTCTGAATCTCATATCTCTGCTGTTATCAGGGGTGAAGGTCAAGGTGTTATTCAAACAAAAGCCTGGCAAGTAACCACTGTACTGACCCCATCTGTTTGAATGATTTCCTATCCATGGGGAAAAACAACAGCAGTAACAACAAAAACCTTTATTGCTTCTTCAAGGAGATGGCATGGTTAGAATTAGAGCTATCTTGAAATAGTCTCCCTTTTTCTTTTCCTGGCCCCTTAGATTGAATCCAGACCCTAAGCCAAAAAAATTACATCCTATGAAACAACCTGTCAAATTTCTAGATTTATTTTTGTGGAACTGTCATCTCTCCAGTTTGAACGAAAGAGAAATGGGCATCTACTCAAAGCAGAAAAATTATCTCTCATATCTCTGAGAACTAAACAAACAAACAAAAAAACAAAAATGGGCTGAAGACCGGAAGGTCAGAGAACAGCCTTTTTATCAACTCTTTATGGTTGGGTTAAGTGCCATTCCATTCTGAGCTGACAGTTCTTAGACATATCTTGCTCTAGAACATACCATTAGAGATGTTTGGACCATCTGCCCAACAGACCATCTGTACAAGACACTAGTGGCCCTTCCAGAAAAAATAAGCAAAAAGGGACATGCTCATCGTAAAGAGGAAGAGCAACTGAGGACACTAAGTAGACGGGTCTTTCTATTCTT